GTGACGAAATCGAGGTGGTCGATGAGTTCGTGTATTTGGGCTCACTGGTGACCGCCGAAAATGATACCAGCAGAGAAATTCAAAGACGCATTATGGCAGGGAATCGTGCCTACTTTGGACTCCGGAGGACGCTCCGGTCGAATAAAATTCGCCGCCGCACGAAGTTGACTGTCTACAAGACGCTGATTAGACCGGTGGTCCTTTACGGCCACGTGGAGGACCAACGCGCCCTTGGTGTTTTCGAACGGAAGGTGTTGCGTAGCATCTACGGTGGAGTGCAGATGGATGACGGAACGTGGAGGAGGCGAATGAACCACGAATTGCACCAGCTGCTGGGAGAACCATCCATCATCCACATTGCAAAAATTGGGCGACTAAGGTGGGCTGGGCACGTCGTAAGAATGCCGCACGACGACCCAGTGAAAATGGTTCTAGAAAGCGACCCAACAGGAACAAGAAGAAGAGGCGCGCAGCGGGCAAGGTGGATCGACCAAGTAGAAGGTGACCTGCGGACCCTTCGCAGACTACGAGGCTGGCGAACTGTGGCCATGGATCGAGTAGAGTGGAGACGACTTCTTCGGACAGCAGAGGACAACAAGGCCTTAGCCTGATTGGTAAGGTAAGTTTTACTTCACGCTGGTCCGCAAATTTTGTTGGGATCGATCCGTCAACGCTTCTCGCCATTAGGAGGGAGAAATGTTGCCATACAGGTAGTCCATCAATGCCTAACGTGCTTCAGGTCAAAACCAAGGCTGGTGAACCAATTCATGGGAGAGTTACCTGCATCGAGAGTCAAAGTTTCTTGTGCTTTCTAGAAAACTGGTGTTGACTACTTCGGACCGGTGTATACTCGGCCTGGACCACGTCGTGTTGCTATCCAAGGCATACGTATCCATTTTTGTATGTATGTGTACGAAAGTCGTGCACATCGAACTGGTGTGTGACTTGTCCACGGACAGGATTCTGCAAGCACTCCGACGTTTCATCGTTCGTAGAGGAAGGTGTACCGGTTTGTACGAATATCGTTGAAGCCCGAAACCAACTGCATGAACTGTTCAACGTCCTGACCAGGTATCCAGGTTAAGCGCTGATGAAGGAATCGAATGGCATTTCAACCGTCCAAGCGCACCCCACTTCGTAAGATTGTGGGAAGCAGCGGTTCGATCGGTCAAACACCATATCCTACGGGTAATTGGTTATAACCCAGTTACACTGGAAGATATGAACACGCTGCTGGTTCACGTAGAGGGTTGCCTGAACTCTAGACCCCTGACACCGATGTCTAACGATCCAAATGATTTCGAACCGTTAACCCCAGCTCATGTCTTGGTTGGAACATCCCTACAATCGTTTCCAGAAGAAGATCTTCGCAATGTGCCGACGAATAGTCTCTAAGTTGCAACATTTCTGGGATCGATGGAGGAAAGAGTACCTTTGCCAGTTGCAAGGCAGATCTAAGCGCTGGAGTTCACCAGCTGGAATTGAAGTCGGAAGACTGATCATCGTGCAGGAAAGTAATCAACCACCGATGCGTTGGCGGCATATGGACCGGATCGTCGAAGTGCACCCTGGTAGTTACGTTGTGGTAAGAGTAGTTACACTAAAAACTGGATCAGGAGCATTGAAGTGGCCAGTCAAGAAGATTTGTTTGATACCTGTTGCAGAGTTGACCCAGTCCCAATCTAAGCGGATTCTTTATTTTTAGATACGGATACTTATGGTGGGTGAGCATGTCTGTAAGGACCACTCTAGCACCATCCTATCGCCGTAACAGCCGACCAAAAGATGGCTCCGGTTATTGTACTGGCCATCGATCGGCAGTTGATTGTAGAGCCAGATCACTTTCGCTTTCATTAGCATACGGGAGATACGATGGGATACTGGGATCGGGTTAGAGAATAGATTTGTATATTTTGTGTTTTAGTTGATAAGTAACACAAGGTCGAAGACGGTCCAGCGAGACCGAGAAATATTATTGTAATTTGTGTTATAGTTGTATCAGAAATAAATGTAGTGTTGTTACAATTTGTGTTTCTTCAAAACTTGTGTTAACCGTAATATGCGGTAAAGATTTGTGTGCCCATCGCTGATCCGTTCCCTGTCGACCAATCATCCAATGATTGAGTTGGACATCGAAGTTTCTTCAGCAAGGACCCAGGTAAACCAACATATTTGGTGAGCTCGTCGAAATTAAGAGGAAAATTTGTATGGAATTCTAAGTTGAAAATCAAGGAAATTTTAGGTTACTGTTCTTAATTCTAAGCGATTTCCAGGAATATGCCAAGCGAATTCATAACAATATAATGTAGTAAAGCAGGGAGGATTTCCTAGAGTGTTCTACACAGAATTTCGATTTTTATAGAGATAGTAGAATTCTTAAAACATTTTGAAATGATCTTAAGGAAATCTTGAAACATATCCTGAGATAATTTTCAAAGATACAAAGTTAATTTTTGTTCTTGATGAAAGCAACACGAAACGACTTGTTCATACAAGTGTTCAAACGAAAAACGTTTCGTTTTGGCTTCCCCCATGGTCTTAGAAATCCATCCAAGATTATAACTTCTAAAAGAAATAATTAAAATACCGGACAAATTATTAACAAAAGTTTTCAGGGTATCGACTGAATGAAGAAAACCAAATTCCCTGATATTCCCTGATTTTCCTGCAATTTCAAGAACAACAAAATCCAGCTTCAGTGCGTACCCGGAAACACCCTGGGGCACCACGACCTCATCAGCTATTACTTTCTTCAGATATGTACTAAATAGTACATTCTGCAAATAGTTCTAAATAGGTCATTCTTTTTTTTAATCAAATACCACATGGACCTCTAACCCATGAAGACAGGTTCAGTATTATTTAAAATTGAATAAAGCGTTCGATACATTTTTCAGAATGCAAAAAATACAGAAATGGCGTGTTACCAATAACGGGAAGGTACCGCATTTTCCTAAATGCAGAAATGTTAAATGTGGTAAGCACCAGTTCAAGCAGTAACCGGGATGTTACTATTATGGTTTATTTATTTATTAAAATGCTTGCTTAATCGATTAAAGTTTTCAGCAAGTTAATGATCCGTTTCGTACCTCAATTTGCTCCAAGATACGAGAAGAGGTTCTTGGCGTGGCCATTTTCTTACCATTAGAAGTACTTTTCTGACTGTTTCTGAACTCAACGCTAGTGGCAGACATTCACCCAGTTTTCCACATATGAAACACTTCGACAGTGAGCATTCATAAGGGCGAATACGCGATGATCGATTCTCTTCATCGATTTTCTCTTTGCATTGCTACAGCTAAGCGAAACAATTTTCTAGAATTTGTTCAATGCAGAGTAGTAACAGGTTGTATTGGCTATCAAAAGCAACAGCAAACGCACCGAGAAACGTTAAATCTAGCGAGTTATTAACAAAATAGAAAATCGACGAAGAGAATCGATCATCGCGTATAGGCCCTTATGCATGCTCACTGTCGACTTATCTTTAATCCCTTTATATTTTTTTTGCCTTGAGTACATTTTGAGACCCAACTCCGTAAGAAAATTATTCCGGATCATACACTGATTCGCGGCCGGATTTCTCCGGTGGGAAATCGTTAACACAGTGCTCTCACCTCCAAAATTCTATAAGTTAATTCTATCTCAATTGCAGTAACATCACAATACTAAAATTTCACTGAAAAGCTTATTTTACGAACAAACCAGGCTTACATTACAATGAAGAGCTAGAATGCTCAATAAGGCACTCAATGCTATCAAGGCAATGCTTGTCTACGTATCATTGAATCATTATTCAATCATAGAAGTGATATGCCAAGCAATCACAAAAAAAAATCATCCAAGCAAGATCATTATCCTAAATTTTCATTTAGCTGATTATCTGAGCTATCTGAGGCTGTTAAGATCGCAATAAAGAACAAGAACAACAAGTATTCTGAAAAAAAAAATCATCCTCTTCTCTTAGCTCTTTTCCATTCATGCATTAACTCAAAGGCGCTTCAATGTGATCAAAGGATTGATTTTTGTTGGACACAGCTGGATCGACCAGACGCATCAATCTAGCTGAATCTATATTAGGCCCAAAATCATTGAAATACCCTTTTATTTGAGTACTGTTAGCTAAACTTGCCACAAGTTCACAAATCTGTTTAAAATTTGAAATGAACAACCATCCTCCAACTACACTGAGTAATTAAGTCAGTCATACTTACGAAAAAGTTTCTGTGATTAAGAAAAATTTCCCTGAATTGTAATGAAATTCCCTGATATTCTCTGATTTCTCTGGGTTTTCCAGGTAGTCGACACCCTGATTATATGGTAAAGTTGTAATCAAATTCCGGTTCAGAGGCCACCACCCTGCCTAAAAAAAAAATCAAAGTGACTGTTTCCTGAAAATCTAGTCCAGTCGAAGGGTTTTGACATTTTTGATGATGATCATGATGATGATGATAGTGGTCTAATACTCATTGTAGCACGGAAGCTAGTCCGAAAGCTGTGGGCTTCCTCACTGTTGACCTTGATCAAGCATAATAACCTCTGATTGTCATCAGCAAATAGCTGTATGAATGGCCAAAGTCATTTCCTTCGGACAGTTAAGAATCTTCTTCCACCAACTTGTTCAGAAAACGAGCCATCCAATAGGAATATGCCCCAATGAATGGAGAGAAGAGCCCACCCTTTATCCACGAAATGTTAGCAACAGGGCGTTGACATCTTCACTCTCCCGATGCAAATCGCTTCAATTGGGTACTACGATTGTCCTCGAAGGGTTTTCCAAATTTTTTCAAGGCCAAAATCTTATTTTGCTCGGAGAGAGGACGCACTCGTACCGCCTTTGTGATAATCGCTCGCTGTTTTGTTCAAAACGCAGCGAGCTTTACCAGCGATGAGGGAACGCAAACAATCCAAACGTATTTTTCCAATCTTCTCCAACAGATTTTCCCAATTAAACTATCAATTGCAACTATTATAGAGAAAAGAATGTAATCTACCTCACTTACCCCCGGTTCATCCGTTAGGTATCGCACGGTGATGTTGAGCACCTTTTCCAGCACGCACCGCCCAAAGTCGCTGTTGAGGCTCTGTTCCCGGTCCAGACAGCTCACGCATAACCGCTGCAGCCATGACGATAGATTCGATCGGACCGATACCTCTGCAAGTTGAGAAATAGAAAAAAAAAGTTAACCATTAGATAACGCTGATGCTGCAGTTGCTTGACGGAAATTGTTACATTGAAAGTGCAGTCTGTAGCGACGAGGACGACGACGACGCCGTGTGTACACAGAGCATGGAACCGCACCCACATTGCTGTAGGTAGTGAAAACTGGGTGTTGCCAGCTTCGCCACCCACGACCCACCGTGCAACTTTTCCAGATGCATCCCATTTCTGTCGTGGAAAGTATTAGCAGGGACGCAGGGGAGTGCATTTTGATGTTGAAATTACAAGGACCTGTTTTCACCGTCAACACCCAAATAGGGTAATTTGTCAAGAGTTTGCAGCTTTTTTGCCGTCATCGTCGTCGTCGACATGGTCGGAGTTTTTACTTTTATGTTGGTCCTGGTCGGTTTATGCCCCGCAAGCGTAGGGCGGATGCTTTGGTCGTCTGTGTGAGAGTGGACTGAAACAGTGCTTCTCTTTTGTGCCGGATCATAAAGTTTAGCTTAACATCTGATACGGCTGGGGTACGACGCTGCAGGATTACAATTTAGTGAGCTTGACCATGTTTGTTGGAATTTAGTAACACTTAGACTTAGATATGTGAGAGGACGATCGAGTCCTTTTGAAGTGCTCCCAGTGTCTCAGTAGTAGGTTTCGAGGAGGACTATAAAATTAAGCATTGTGGCATGCTGGTGATTCAAAACTAACATAATAATGGCAGAGTAGTTTACAAAACAATGACGTTCGGCTCCGTGAAGCGAACAGTATTGATCCACAACACAGTAAGCAGCTTCCCAAACTCTCCGGGGAACTCCTTCTTCAGATAGGGGGAAAACTTTTATTTGCTTTTAATTTCCCCGGCAACAAAATTAAATTAATTTCGTCCGAATTATTCTCCAACTTTGTTGATATACGTCTCGCATGTGAGTCTGTGTGTGTGTGTGTCAATTTAACTGTACCCATTGATTCCCCCCTTACCTCACACATCCCACACATCATGCATCAGGTATCAACCGCCAGGCAGGAGGCAGGAATTGTAAGCAAATCCGAAAAGGACCCTCGCTCCATCTCTATCTCTCTTGTTGAATGGAGAACATTCCAGGAATTAAATGAAAACATTGTGCGAGATGTATGTGCGTGTTAGTGTGTGTGTGTGCGTATGTGGCTAGAGCCAGAATCAGGGATGCGGCAAGGGCTGGAATGAGTTTTACAAAAAAGGAAATTAATTCACTTTCGATGGAAGTTGACCTACTGACTGTGTGCATCAGAAAGAGAGAGAGAGAAACACACACACACGCACATGACGGAGATTGTTTTTGTTGGTAGGGTGACAACGGGAACTTGTTAAATAACGACGATTATAATGTAGTAAGGTTTGGCGGTGGGTGAATGCCAACGATGGAGCCGGTAGAAAATCAATAATGCTTTTTCCGAGCGTTTTCCTCGGAACGGATTGGTTGATCTCCAGGCTTGGTGGTTGTGGTAGGTGCGTGGGCGGATGAAGCTGGAATGTTCGGAAAGATTTTTTGATGAAATCGCTTTCGGCCAAATTAATTTGTTTAGTGGTGGTATAATGAGTACTCCAAGAGTTGATTGATTGAGAGGGTGGGGATACATTCGATACATGATGATTCGGTAACGAATCGAAAAACCAACACTTCAGTATGAGAAAAGATGGCGGAAACACAATTTCCGTGCATCTACTCATTTTGCTATATAAAGTTCCATTTACAGGTTTTTGGAGAAACTTTTTTTTTTAATCCTTGAAATGTTCCTCATAATTCCCTAGGATCTCTGCTTTGGGGTATCTAAAGATGATTACAGGTAAAACCTTGAAATTCTCCAGTGTTTGTCTTTGAAATTAACCTCAAAACTTCGTTGAAAATTTCCATGATCTTTCCTCAAATCAGCGTTGCAATACTCCTAGGAATACTTTTCTAATTATCTTCAGAATTTTAAAATAATTTTGTTTAAAGTTCACGTTGGATTGCCCTTCTCCTCTTACTTCTATTTACAAGTACATTGAAGTTATAATTAGAATTCACTTGCAGTTCTCTTTACAAATCCTTTCAAAAATACTTTAGAGTTTTATTCAGAACTCTATTTGAATTCTTTTTGGAATTGCCTTGGAATGCTCCACAGAATTCTCTTGTAAATCTACTTTATCCTACTAAGGAATTCTACTCAGAATTTCGTTGGAATTATCCTTACGTTTCACCTGGAGTCTGGAGTTCTTCAGAATTAATTTGAAAGGAATCCTCAAATTTCACTTTCCTAAAAATTTATCCTCTGATATTTTCTTCTGAATTCCCTTGAAATTATTCCTAGAGATCCTTAGAAATTCCTATCAAATTCATTAATTAAAGTTCATAAGCAAGGAATCAAAAATATCTCCAAATGACAAAATAACAAGCGATCAACGAACCGAATAATAACGCTATGTCAGAAGTTGAAAACAATAATGATATAATCTCCACCGTTCTTTTTCATGACAAGCAGCTCGTGCGACCCGACTCATTCGGGGCGGTAGAAGGAAACGAGCAAATTGTTGGCAAGCTGCTTCACGAAGTAAAGCCGAAGATGATACACGTGTGTTAATGGGAATTTTTTTGTTATGTCTTTTCCCGATTCATATCAAGCTATGTCCTCATCCGTGTATATTGCAACAAAGCAGGCAAGCAATATATCATTATCCTTCTACCACTCGGATCGAGCTTTGTTAAAGAGCGAGTTTGTCATGGTAGTCGTAGCAACCGTTTTGTCTGTATCGTTGGTTGCTTTATGTGTTTCGATTCGCTGTTCATAAGCATTGAAGCATTTGCAAGGTCCTTACTTAATTTATTCGAAATCTGGGTTGTTGAAATTTATTCTATGTCCGTAGCCTAGAATATTTATTTTCGTTCCAGATTCTTGAAAATGTATCCATGCTTGATTTCATTAGGTCCAAGATTTCATAAAAATAGTCTGAACTTGAAATCTATAGATATTATCCATGTTACAGGAACTTTAAAAAACACAATTCAAGCCAAAGAGTTGTGCTTAATCAATTCCAAATCAGATCCTGATCATTCACCCAATTGTTGAGTCCATATGATTGCGATCCCATAGTGCACTGGCCCTTTGAAGTTTATATGGGGATTACTATGGGAAAAGGGAGCTTTTTGTTTTTATCGTCCTAGCCTTTCGCCATCATGATTTAAGCGTACTCATAGCAAATATTCTCAGCTACAACTTGGCTAAATACCACTTTTTGATTAAAGGTCTAAAAAATCAGTTATTGATTGATTTATAAGCCTTTAACTTTCTGATAGGATTATTCGACGGGTTTCAGGGCAACACTGCATTTTGCACTAGTAGCCTGGATTTTTGACCTATTTTTCGCATCAAGTTCACCAATGTTGCCTGCTGAGCAATTATTTATTTTTTGTTTATTAATTTATTTGATAAGGCTCAACCGAATTAACTGTACAGAGCTGAGGATTCGTGTTCACTATACAATACATTTTAAAACGTTAGTCAAAATGAACGGGAACCACTTCTAGTGGTTTCATTATATGGCAGATTCGCCAACAGGGAGCAGAGCGCTTCCATTGTAGCAATTGACGCAAAAGTGGTCAGCACTTACACATTCATCATGAAACGGTTGCTTTCCAAAGTCGGTGACGCATCGACTGAAAGAATTGCTGATGAAGAACAATGAGAAGGACCACACAATGGTTGCTGCCGAATAAACAGACGATCGTGTTACACACATCGAGAGTGGTCTGCTTATGTCGACAGCCGAGTGAACACTGCTGAGCAGTTAATGGAACATGTCCGAAGAACAGAATCTTTCTAATTAATAGATGATTAATTAACCTAACAACATGCAAAGTGTTGTTTGTTACTTCATCCTCTTCAGAACTTTCTCTAGCTAATAAATTATCACACTAAAGCTTCATGTTGATATTAGTATAGCATTTCCAACCAACTCTAACCTGACAATTTTACCCATAAATCATTATGGCGAAAGGTTAGGATGAGGAAAAACAAAAAGTTCACATATTCCTACATAAAATTCGTATGGTCCAGGGCAACCAAATCTTCTCAAATTTTGGAAGAATGATCAGGACTTGATTAAGAATCAATTGAGCTAAGTGGAGCAAAATCCATATGTTGAACCACCCTAGTACGTATGTCACCTGCGTGAGGTAACATTCAATTCTAGACAGAGCTGGAATTTGGGCGTAACAGTTTTTTTTAAACAATGACTTCTCTCGGTGATTTCTCGAAATTCACGGCTCTCCCTAGCAAATCGACATCACCACCGAGTAGAGGAAGACTTCTCATACCCGATGGATATGTTGGTTTGTGTAGGCGTGCCTTGAATTCCCATAAATCAAGGGAGAAGTAATTGTTTACAAAGGCTGTTACGCCCTAATCCCAGCTCTATCTAGAACTGTCACCTGAGGTCACGGATTGTGATCTAACGTTGGAGCTGATGAAATACAGAAAAGTGAAGTGTATCGTTTCCTGCGGAGCTGGGACTCGACATGCACACTGGTGCACGAGGTGTGTATATGTACGTGAAAGAAGATAACCCTTCATCGCTAAATTTCCTCAATCGGATGAGGATTTTTAAATTACGGGATCAACAACATGTGTATCTAATGAAAGACGGAGGAGTAGCGAATGAAATCCTGCCCCAAGCGGAAGGCCCAGAAGCAATAAGAAAAGTAAAAATAAGACGAAGGACAAAAACAGAACGAAGAACAGAGTGACGTACGCTGATGTAGTGACTGGCGATGCAGACGGAAAACATCGATAAAGAAACAGTGGAGTAGTTTGAGAAAGCGGTGGTGGAAATGGACTCCCCCGAAACCAAAAAAGAACAGTGGAGAGGAAGCAAGCGAAGCCCAGAAACAGTAGCCGAAGGAGACTCAAAATGAATTAACCATGAGGTTAATTTAATGATGATAAATATGACTACAGTTCTGAAACTACACCTAACAATC